CAGTTGAGCTTCCATACAGCTCCGGACTGGTGGCCAGTGCCACAAAGGTATAGACGGGAATGAACTGGCTGAGGAGCTTGCCTGCTCCGCAGCATGCACCAACATGGTGGGGCCGAAAATTTTCATTGTGGCAGGTCGCCACACCATAAAGATGCTGCTCCGCAATAATGAAACAGCGACTAGGGAGATGCATTTTCAACAACTCCTAATCATCCGAAATGTTAAGTTGGAAAAACTTAGTTCTGCGACTTGGAGTTTGAAAGAAGATCACATCGCCTCAATAGCATCTAACAGTTTATCAATTTGCTGGTGCTAGTTGAGATATTGTGACTTAGGAGTGGGCACAGTGGACCCTAGGTTGCGGTCCAGTCCTCTTTTACTTATCTAATCTAAAGCCTAAAGAAACCTTCATATAAACTTATAAAGTTGTATTTTTTACTTTTATGCAAAATTTTAGTTGAACGATGTCGATAGCAAAACATTGTATTTATTTAATTGCACAATAAAATTGATGAATAGGTAAACACAATTAGTAGTAAATGCCGTTGCGGAAGTCAATTAAGCGGCGCCTATAAATATCGACTCGCGTATAAATGTAAATACATAAATATACACACATGCATACATACACAAATACACTACCAAGCATTGCGCACCAACAACTGATTTCCAAAGTTTTATGTAAAAACATTTGTTTTTGTTTTTTGTTTATTTTATTGCACTTGTCAACTTACTAAGTTCATTGGCGGCTCGTTGATAGGGATCCAGCAGATCCAACTGTGCGTCGCTGAACGTTTGTAGTTTCTCATAGCCATAGGCGAGCAAGTCGCGCTTGCACTCGTTCACTGGCTTCGCTGTGCTGGCGGCGGTGGCTTTGCAGTGCACGCTGACCAATTGACCGAACGTCGAGTAGAGGTACGACATCTGTGGGGCGAGAGAAGTGTGAAATGTTAAGTGATTAGTGATTATTATTTTTATACATTTATATATATTATTTCTTGTATAACTGATGGTTATATTGATTAATTTACACGCTTACTGATAAGAAGGCGGATGTGGTTTGAGCGAGAAGTAAAGTGCAGTTGAAAATATATTTTATAATAAAATATGTTTTCTACGAGCTGATAAGCGCCAGAGCTGACTTGGTACGATATTTATATTAGAGTGAGATACATAAATGCCGATAAGTGTGTGACAAAAAGCTGATGAACTTAGGGGTTTGAGATACGTTAGAATTCAGTTGCTTTATTATTTTTATCATCAACCGAGGTTTGTCAGCATTGTCGCTATAAAACTACTACTAATAATAGTGTATAATTTACGACAGCTTCTTTTCAAAAGATGAGGCGAATACATTTTTTACTTATCGAACAACCCATCTTGACTTACTATAGTGAGCATAAAATATCGAAGCGCGCATAATCTTATGTTAAAATCTTTGTGGTTTCAAGTTTTTTCAGATAAAACCGATAAAAACCCATTACCGTTCAAGAACTATAACGAGTGCAATAGCGATAAATTGACCATTTCCAAGTCAATTCATTCAAACGGTACTGAAATGGATCCAAATTTGAAGCCCGGAAACTGTGACTCTGACTGTGATAGTTTTCAAACAATTTTGTTTAATCCTCTATACTTAATATCAGTTTACAATATACCATTCCTTAACGCAGAAAGCGAAAGATAGCTTAAAAATTTTGTACAGGTAGTGAAAAATTAGTTTATTTTCAATTTTTATATTGAATTTTACTGACTCAAGAACTCTTTTACTGCCATATATAACACATTTCGGAGAAGGAAATGTGGAAAATATACAATATATATCTAAATGATCAGCGTGACCGGCTGAGTTGATTGAGCGATTTTCGTCTGTCTATATATACGCGAATTAGTTCTGAAGTTTTTGAGATATCCATCTGAATTTTTTTTACAAAACTTTTTTTCCCTTCTAAAAAGCTGCTAATTTGTCCCATCGGCCGATATTGGAGCACTAGAGCATACAGCTGTAATAGAGACTGAACAATTGGAATAAAATGCTTGTATGGAAAATCTTTTCATTAGACGAGATATCTTCAATAAATTTTGCATGAAATATTATCTAAGGCATCTGTACAATCTCTAAAGAAATTGCTCAGATCGAGTCATTATGTTATTATATATACTTGCTATTCAAACTGTTTTATCAAAATCAAGTTCTTATAAGGAATTTTATTGTATTTGTAAAGGATATTATAGCTTCGCAGCAAGCGAATCTTAGCTTGACTTGTTGCGACTATATTTTATTAACATGGAAAAATGTTACTGCTCATATTACTCGATATATCAGAAGTCTATCTATCACACACTCCTAGTAAGGCAAAGAGAGCACTTTCCTTAGGCTCAGCAAAACTGCTTGTGAGATTAATATGGCTTGAAACTCTATTTATGGTAAAATTTGGCCTAAATTATGGAAAATTACTAAAAAAACTTCTTATACATATATGTATGTTTTCAACTTGATACTCTAACAACTCTATAAGCAGTATCGAATCAGCAAAACTTTGAAAGTGGTGAAACGAACAAACAACTGATATAAATAAATACAGCTCAGCAACCGGTTATACCAAATGAATGCAGCTTTACTAATAATGATAATTGTCTCATTTTGTTGCTTTCATAGGAAACTTTTTGACAATTCAAATGAATTTAAATGTAACAAGCAGAGAAGTACACCATTTCTCTGAAGACTTCTGTTCTACATATATACTATATACATACACATTTACATTTATTAAAAATGATCTAATAAGTATTATATTTCAAATTCGAAAAATATGTATCATATACTTTTACGCTTCCGCTGTCCAATATATCCAATATATCCAATATGTAAGCATTTTATAATCAAAACAATATGTTTCAATATGAGTGGATTTTCAAGACTTATTTAATATAAAAAATTTCACATTCTGGTCAGGTACACCAATTTTATATTTCTGTTTGTCACTTGTTTCAAAGTGATTGCAACCGGAAATCGATATAAAAAATAATATATTCTTCCGCACTTTTTTATTATATGCATGTATACTTATTCAATAATCTCCGAATGCAAAACACATAGAAATATATATAAAATGTTTCAGATTCTTGATGAATATGAGTGTAAAAGGTTATTTATTCCGATGACAATAGTCTGATTTTTAAGATTTCCTTTTATAAAATTCTCAGTATTTTTAGGGAAATACCTCTGAAAATTTGTATATAATATTTATAGGAATCTAGAGATGGAGATGTTTAAAAATGCATATTAACTATATAAAGGGTGCTTCATTTCGAGATTGCCTGCTGTTTTCGACTGGGTGAAACACTGGTGAATGACAAGCGTGCTATTTTGCTCCAAGTCCTGAATTAAAGCGGGATATGTTAGACTTAACATATAACCACAGCAAAGAGACTAACGGTGTAATATCACACGATCTTGGTGGCTAATCAACTGGCTCACCGAAGTATTCACTCAATAAATCCACTGATTGATGCGATGTGTGGGAAGTGACACTGTCTTGTTGTAACCAAATATCGCCGAGATCATGAACATCAATTTCAGGCATCAAACAGTCGGTTATCAGGGCACGATAACGGCCACTGGCCCACAAAGCATACAAACTGTTGCTTTTTCTGGATGAAATGACAACCTTTGAATCTCTTCAGGTTGCTCTTCGTCCCAAATGCGAGAATTTTGCTTGAGTCTTAAATTTGCCTCGAAAACGTCGGATGTTCTTGAAACTTTTCAAGAGCTTATAGAACGAGGCGATGTCGTTTGAGGAGGTCAAGCGGTTTCAATTTAAGAGATCGACGTAAAATGCGAGTTGGTGCGAACGGCGCAGAAACCACTCTCTATGCATGACGTGACAGTTTGACACGACTCGTGATCTCTAAAAAAAAGGCGATTGAAAAAAGTACCTCTACTTGGATCACCCATTAAAAATGAAGTAAATGCTTTGATAGATATTTGACCGGAGATGTACTCTATTATTGGAGGAACCAATCCAACTCTAAATACTTTAAAACAAGATTTTTGAGGAAGAAACCCATTAAGAGGCTTGTTAAGAGTTCTTTTTTAGAACTTCGGCTCCCTTGGGTTTGGAGCTCACGACCCATAACGACCCACGAACTTCTATTCAACTACCAGATAAGCATCTACTCCAGTTGCGTACTCTCGAGGCAGAAAGAAAAAATAAAAACAACAACATTGATAATAAAATAATGCTACGGTGGCTAGATTGCGCTACCGATTTGCTAACTACCAGACATTTACGTCTAAAATTAACCGACATAAATACCTGCATGTGTGTTTGTATGTACATATGTATGCACAAGCATATGTAAATAGCTGTATACAGAGTACGTGCGGCAGCTCCTGCCATAGATGCAATGTAGGAATTGCTCCATAAAATTTTCGGTTCAGTGGTTCTTTAACACATGCATATATATCTATCTACATATGTATGTATGTATATACGAGATTTGCTTCTGCGCATGTGTAAACGCTACCCTATGGCAGAAGAAGAATTTTGTGCGCATGCGCAATTATGTATTCTGCAAAGGTATCGGAGCGTGTCATTTTGTGTTAATTTCGGATTTTGAGTTTCGTAAAACGGCAGCTGGAAGATACGAGCACGCGGTAGCATTAAAGACAGGCAAACAAACAGACAGACAAGCGGCGATAAATCTTGCGCAGTTTGGGGTTTTCAAAGATTTTACGTTAGCCGCAGACGGTCGAGTATCTGTGCCGATGACACATTTCTCATCGACGTATGACGGAATTGGGGAATTTCGCACTTTGATTTAAGACTCAATTTCACTTTTTGTGCGACGAAAGGAACGCAACAAGTGCTAAGTGATCAGATTTAACATGAAAAATTATGCAAACAATATTTCGGAGAATAAGTTCTGCATACGTAAATATTGAAAGCTTTTATTTATTCAGGTGAACATAGAAATAAATTAAAAACAACAACAATCGTGTGATAGAACTGAGTAATAACTAACGGCATGTTGTCGCGAATATTCTAACTGGTTTTGAACTGGTTTTAGAGGCCATCGACTAACTTTGTTTGAACTAATTTTGTGGAAATAGAACTAAAATGTTTAAATTAGCCGTTTAACGATAGCAATTTACTATGCTTTTGATCGACACCCCGGAAATTATGCATTCTTCTTCTCGTTGGGCGGTATATAACCGGTTAGGCGATTTTGATCCGCACACTCTGCGCAATCGCGCACCTCTCCAAAATAACAAGTTAAAGACGAATCGTATTCTTCTTAGTTTTCCCTACGCTGGCGCTAATTTGAAAACTTTTTAGAGTTGGAAAGTTTTTAAAAAGTTGTTGGTGTTAAAGGGACAGAAAATATTCACCAAATATTTTGATAATTTTTAACTAGTTGATAGTTCTTGGGCGGATATAAAACCGGGTCGTTGCTGTTGCTGATTCTAGGCTTCTATGCCTTAGATTTGTTAGATTTGATACTAAATCTCTGTTATCTCGATACGAAGCAGCAATTGAATTAAAAAGAGTTCTCTCTCCAGTTTCAGAGTTGATATTGTTTTCGGTGCTTCTGCTGGTTTTTACAACTTTTATATAGTGAAAAGGCAAGCCAAAGGGCAAACGTACTGATTGTTTGTCTTATGACTGGATACATTTTATCCGAAGCTGTGCGATTCTGCGCCGTTCGCCGTATGGAACGACTTGACGCATTTTACGACGAGATCTTAAGCGTACTCCGTCTGCAAGATTTGAGGCCGCTCGACTTTTCCAAGCGACATCGCTTCGTTCTATGCGCTTATGGAAAGATCCAAGAATATCCGACGAATTCGAGCCTAATTTTGCAAACTTTCGCATTTGGGAAGAAGAGAGTCAAGAGATTCAAGAGCTGCCATTACATCC